ATTATGCAACATATACTGAGGAATCTTGTTTTCATACTATTTATTTTATATGGGTACATAAGTATTTTGCATACGGAAGACGTCAACAACATTAAAAGTAATCAGATGTAATTACTAGTATACGAAATATTACCAGAGACGAATCACAGAGTTTAGCAGGAAGAAAGATGCCTGTAGAATGTCTTCATGTTATTTATCCCTACACTACATACGATTATCTCTGTTCACGTGTACTTGTTTTGAGGTGTAATAAGATTTTACTTTCAAATTAAGTGAACGGCATTGACACTAGTACTGGGTCGAATTACTGGACGTCTGTTAGCCGATGGGCTTGAACACTAACGCCTCAATACTGTCTCATTATTCACTATGCTACAGTTGACTCGCTGGCTGGTGGTGAGATGCACGACACACTTCTCGCCCAATTTGGAACTTGCCAGCTGAGTGTTTCTGCACCCCAGTGAAAGCAACGTCACTCACTGCAGGCACCCATACTCAGCTGACGAGTCCCGAATAGGACGAAATATGCGATGCAATTATCTGTACTATTCTTAGATGGCTATAAAATGGAAAATTTCTGTTATTCCAATATTTTGGATAATGAAAAGATATGATGAATGACCGCTACAATAATAATACTATAAACAAATATTCACTGTTATTTGTTTCTATTTATTGTATTTATAGACAGAAATAATCAACGTAGAACTTCGGATTAAAATACATCGATTCAAGTTGTCACACTTCACATTAGTATACAAAGAACAAGATGATAGGAAACATGAATATCATAGAGGAAAAAGGCGTATGGAGGTCAGAGGAAATTTAAATATTAAGGTTAGTCAAATCATTCAGACAGTGAACACATCTCCGCCTTCGTGACCAGTTTTCAGCTATTTCACCAAGAGACTTCAACCATTCATTCCTATGGTCTCAAATACGCCAGCCAGGTACTCTAGATTTCCTCATACATCCCGGACAAACAATTGGAGATTTCGTCGACCGGTGCCACGTTTATATCTTGCCATGCTGAGCGCCTCTTTCGAACTACAAGTAGTGCACATAGAGGTAGGCGGTGCCTGGGCATGTGTAGCACATATACAAGCTATCTCAGTCGCTAAAAGTTCACAAATCTATCGACTAACTAGTCTTCCTTCCCAAAAATTATTCGCTTGACCTCAACGTTGCTCACATGATGATCCCACCAAACGCAAGCAATGCTACGGAAACACATACTATCCAAAAATTTTATCAGCTCCACATCGTCTACCTTTAACCGCCATGTATCGCGGTAGTTCAACAGGACAGAACGGACTGCAGTGCAGTGTACTCCTCCTTTAATAGACAACCAGATATCTCACCAGTCAACACCAAGGATGACTCAAACTGGTAAATCCAAAACGGGATTCTTTATCCGAGCTGAAATTTCATCTGCAACTACCACCTTCAGGCTGATGCAACTCTCCAAGTAAGTGAAGTGATCCACACCTTCCGTCACTTCCCCCCAATCATTAAACTTCGAATACTTGCACTAGACTAGTCATGAAGCACCATCTTACATTTGACGGCTGAGAGCCAGATGCACATCAAAAATACTCAGATTTATGCTCAACGCGTTTAGAAGACCCTGCATTTCGTCAGCGGGTTCACCCAGGAAGACAAAATCGTCTGAATACTACAAGTCGACCAGATGGCCACCAGGGAGTAGGTCAATTAATTCCTGTGAAGTCAGAGGTACCTGACGGTATGTCAGTTAGTATGTCTATGACAAAGTTTTCGTCTATTGTGGCTTTGAAGTCTCTATGAGTAAGACGAAAACTCACTTGAATGGTTTTATTATCCCGTGTACAACATCATATAGTCTCCTAATTAAAGGAACATAGTTTATTCTGTTTACTAGAAATGTCATAGTGATACTACATACTGTTTCACCCTGTGACACTTCCAATACACAGACTAAAATGGAATTACAATCAACCACAGCACCTAAGTTTTACTTATGTGCCAATGAACCGAGCTTATTAATGTTATAAGCAAGGAAAGCAGTGGCCCGAATGATGCTTCAGAAACTTGGCTGTCTTCAGTGACAGTGAGACATATTTCCAAGGGTTCGTTCGTTTACGAGATGATAGGTTAGCACCCAGAGATGATTGTGTCATTCTGTACATAAAGAATACTTTAAGACGTATGAAAACGTTGCACAAGAAAGTGGGACACGTAAAATGATACGTTGCTGCCTAAAGTGTAAGAGAAAAGATGTTAATCGAGTCATGGTACGTCAAAACCTTGGATGGGATGGGAAAGACCTCCCTCTAGATGAACTGACTTTATGAACAGATAAATGCAGATGTCTGGGTGTAGATTTCAACGCGCCATCAGTTGACTGGAACAACTCAACAACAGAAGCATTGCAAGATTCATTTGATCACCGGTTGGATGAGGCATCAAATATCCAAGGCTTTTATACAGCACATTAGAACGGAAACCAGAAACGATCATCAGGATGTTTCATGAGTTCTGGACCTAGTATTCTCCTACACAGATGACGTAAGCTTCATCCCATACCTTGCACCTCTTCGTGAAAGTTATTGTGCTGTGATCATGTTCAGACTCACAGCAGCTGAAATCTCAGCTAGAAACAATATGTGGAATGCGAAAGTGTCAGTTATTGACTCAGCAGCCTTGCAGGAGTATCAATAATTCAATTCAGACGCCTCGGTTGAGGTATATGGTGCTCCTTTAGTCCACAGTATGCACGAGTGATTCAACCGTTCATTCCGTGAACTCTCTTGAAGAGACGAAAACACTACACTCAGTGGATAAGCCATGAAACTCAGAGTTTAATACAACGGGAGAAGTGTCGGTGCCTTGTCACTCACTTTTGTTCTTCCGAGGTGAAGAAACCTTGCGAAAAAGCTCTTAATAAATGTAGTGTTGCTATCCGTCGGCCCTGAAATACTTTGTGACACTTTGCACCCAAACTGCAGTGAAGCATTCGAAGAGGCTATTTTCCTTAGATGAACTATAGGAATAAAATGTTTCGTGGTATCCGCGCCTTAACTGAAGAAGCAAAAACAAACCAGGCAACTAAAAACAATCAGGACAAGGTAGATGCAATAGCCAGATATTTTGCCGCTCTTTTTTACCAAAAACCTTCGACACACACCAACTCAACAGTAGAACTATTGACACCTAACAAAACTCTGTAAAAATCGAGTACAATGGTATATTTCAGAAATTAAGTACTCTAGATGCAGAAAAACCAATGGAACAGAATGAGTCTCACCCAAGGCTGCTAAGGCAGCCTACAAACTACACAGCTAGCCCGCTCACTACTACATTTAGACTGCCCTTCAGTGAAGGCATACTCCTATATGAATGAAAGCACAGCAAAGTCAACCCCATCCATAGGGCAGTTTCTAAACATCATCTATCAAATTACAGGCCGATAAGCTTGACTGATACTGTAATCAAGGTACTAGAAAGAATAATCAGGAAAGCCATTAAGGTCCACCTATAAAGCAAAAATCAGCTGTCTTGTTCACAAAATGGACTTTTCAAAAGTTTTCTTTTGCTTCACGAACCTTTCCGCAGTCAAAGAAAGTTGAGTTAAGTCTGAGAGTAATAGGACGACTCATCTCATTCCAGGTTGCTCTTGAAGCTGAAAAATCGTGATTACTGGCAATCTGCTTGCATGGACCAGGGATTTCATTGTTGGTAATGGAAAAAGTGTCAGGGTCAATCTTCAACTCTCCTTCAGGAAAGTGAAGTGTTGCAAGGTAAGGTCATGGATTCCTTGCTATTTTCCCTGAACATAAATCAGCCACCGAATATCATGAAATACCCCATAGTTGTTTAAGCCGATTATGTAAAACCTGGACAGAAATTGAAGATGACGACGAGTTACGTGTACTTTAAACAGACCTAAACAGATTGTTAACCTGATCAGAGAAACAGCTGATGCCTATTAACACATATCTTTGAGTTAGTACGTATATGAAATGTACAGATGGCAACATTGAAGATATGGGTGGAACTTTTTTACCTTTATTATTGACCCAAAATGACTAAGGGGAGACAAGTTATGATTTGAAGACCACAGCACACTGTCGACTGACAGCAGCCTGAGTTTCAGAACAATTTAGGCATAATTCAGAGCGTTTACTAAAAATAAGCTATGACGTGTTCATCTCTTTATGACCGTAATTAGTTACATCTAAACTAGCAAACTGTGAGCAAGAGGCGAATCCCTGCCTAAAGGGTGACTCAGACCTCATGGAAACAGTCTAAAAAATGGCCACTTGTATGATCCCTACGATGGCTAGCCCCAACCTAGGAAAAAAGACTTCAGAAGCTCGGGCCCATCTTCTTATCCTATCCCAAACAAGGATCTAATCATGCCATACAGAACTCTTCTCTTATCCTTCCTACTAGGTTGGAACACCTTGCAGGATGTAGAAGAGTGCAAAACAGGAGGACAAAGGTCGTCTCAGTTTAGTAATGGCCTTCGAATCAAGCAATAAACTTTCTAAACTGACTCTCAGAAGAACTAACATCCATTTCATCATGTGACTCTTCCAAAAGAGGACTAAACATAAACAAAAACTAATAGTTAAGGATTAATTTGGGCTCATAGTCTTCTTTTTCCGAACTTCAAGTCTGAGATTTAAATCTTTATTCGCTTCAACTTGAAACTTTGAAAAGATCCCGATCAACTAGAAAATCTTCCGGAGTCACATCAGTTTCTATCTTCAATAGAATAATTGCTCTAAGGGAACTAATGAATCTATATATAAAGACAACTGATACCAAAATATAAAACTATTGATGAGTGAATTTTTAGATATGGGGTCATACTCATATCACTGGATTAGACCAAAGACACGAATCATCCCTAAAAACCATGAAATGAGTGCAAAATCTACTAATATATATGAAATTGTCTTGAAGATATTCATTATTCATGTAGAAATAATATTTGAACACTCTAGATAACATACTTTTCTTGGCTAACAATCCAATTTTCTTCATCATTTATGGCGGATAGATGGTATTCAATCCTTGTTTCACCGTTTTCAACCAAAATCCAACGTCCATCCTCTGTTCCAACCACAATTTTTTCATCATTAATCCAGGTATGGCAAAGGAAGTTATGGAGTTCTACCCTACTCAGACCATATGTTTTAAGATTATTCTCCCCGTAACGGTACAGTCGGAAAATATCATTACCAGTAACACAAATAAGTGTGCAGTCATGCGGACTAAAGGAAATCTAAATAACTGAGATAAGTTTGAAATGAACGTTTATAACTTGTTTGACTGGGTTTGAAACAGAGGTTCTGATGCTGGCTAGCTGTTTGGGCTTCTCCCATGACCAATACGTCAGAATCCAATCAGGATGACCACCTTGGACAGCGAGATATTTAGAGTCTGGAGAGAAGGCAACACTAACAAATTCATTGGAGTGCAAATCCGAAGAGTGTACGGCTTTCTTTTTCCGTAGTGCTTGTAAGTCATATATAGTTACAACGGGTTTCTCTGCAGTTTTTTTCAGCCAAAGCAATATATCTCCTGTTAGGGCTGATGGCTATGGCTGTCATTCCTTGTGATTTTTCTAAGCCTGCAATAAACTTTCGAGTTTTCTGTTCGATGTTATACAGAACCAAATTAGATCCACATGGGTACACTATAGTCTGCTCATCTAAGAACACAGTAGAGCCAGATATCCCAGTTCGGTAGCCAAAAACGTGTTTCAAGCTGGCTATTCCTGACATTTTAGTTAGATGTCTTACTAAATTTAGAATTTGAAATGTTGCGGTTTTGCTGTCATGACAATAAAAAGACAAACAAAATCTCAAAATATAATACGTAGATTCTCAATACATTCAGTGATATTCATCTCCATTATCAGCTAGACAAGATGAATATTCTTTTCAGAAGCTTGTGGTTTGGACTACATCCGTGAGCGTGCTCACAAGAGTTCATTACAATCGAAATGCTCGAGATTTTCACTTAAATCCAATTTAGTCAGAAATAAAAATATTGGGTTAGTTTTCCTTTGTTCATCCTACTAATGTATAGTTGTGAATACCTAGTTTTTCATTGAACGTGTTCACCGAAGGAGCTGATACCAATCTCTGAGTTAAGGAGTTCCAGTCACTGACTTCTGAATGACAGAAACGCGGGTTCATACCAATTTCATCCGATTGCGGCTTTAGAAGTTTCTTGTAGTGGCGCTAGAGATAATGAACTCTGGCGGGAGAGAAAAGATAAGACACACCAGTACTGACCGAAATGCAGATAAGTGAGACGAAGCTTTTCAGTTTAGCATTTGTAAAAATCGGTGAACCATCGAAGTGATTAAGATGCACAAGACCAAAATAACACCACGATGTATCACCTATGTACACCGTTTCAATATATCCATAAACAGTGCTGCGTAAGGCCACTTCTAGCTTCGGGCTTGGTTATAGAGGCTATGAAATACACCCAGTGGCTCTTCAGATGCCGGCCCCACCAGTCCCTAGCGTCATGGCTGGGTTGGATGGCTGGTTGGCAAGAAAAAACCTCGAAAAATGCCACACACGCTACGATTAGCGACCATGGTCATCCGCAGTGCACCGGAAGTGGCAGCTGGCAAAACAGAAGAAAATTGTGCGTATGGTGTTCAACAAAGGCAGTGGTTTTCAGTAAGATTGACTCTAAAGGGAACAACAGAATCAATGATCCACAGGTTTTCGGATCCTTAGCGTCCGATAGCGATGATGTTGCTTAGACTTATGCCTGTCAGCTTCGGATGCCCTATAATTTTTAACGACAGCATCGCAAATATGGTACGCAACTAAGGACAGAGTCAGCGATAGCGTTGGTCGTTGCGAAAGCAAACCCAGCAAGTGGTAAGGACAACATTAGACGATCATTCGTCCCCTCTGAAGTCACCACTACCGCGAAGAGGCACTAGGGTGTCCAAACAGACATTGGCTTGGTGGTTACTCCAGAGACCACTGTGAGGAAAAACGAGCGGCGGTCACTATACGGTTGCGTGGAACCTAGCAATCAGTGGACAACTGTCATCGGAAGAATCTCTTTTCTACTTTGCCGAGGCAAAATACGTGGTGATGAGACAGTATTTAAAGACAACATCATGGCCCCAGGAGTGGGTTGCCTTGTTGGTTGACCAGTACCTTGAACTAGTGGGGGACGTTATTAAAAAAGCTATTCCCAAAAACCCTTCAGTAGTCACGACAATACCAACGAGGCGGAGCCGGTTGCCGAAACAAAGCATTTGGGGCCCCTTGAAAGTCAAAAGAAAAGTACACATAAGGCACGCATGCAAAAGAAAGGATTCCGGATTTGTCTCAGGCATATGCGAAGTTCTACCGTCCTAGTCACGAAGAAGGAGAAGAGATCAGAACTATATGAACTGTCTATAGGTTGTGGAGCTACACGATGTGAATATGGACAATAACTTGTGTTTGAAACGTTGTCCAGTAAATTATACTGTTTCACAGTGTGACATTTCCAATAAGTAGGCCAAAATGGAGTTACAGTCCGCCACGGCGTCCAGATTTTACTCTGATATAAACGGAGAATCCCTTGAAAAAAGCCAGATCATAAAGTATGCAACGCTCTAAGAATCTGTGCGACGTCTAGGTGGAGAAAGATGGGAGGTCATTCCAGATAGACCTGGTGCCGAAGCTTGAGGCGAGTTCCATGACCTATGCAAACTAAATGATGACCTAAAAACTACTGGTTGTTGCGTATCATCACCCTCGATATTGTTATTATTAACACTACTTGACCACCATGGTTTTTCATTTGAAAATATTGAGCAAGATGTAAATTTGCTGAAATATCACATTGGAATTCCAAACTACATTCAAAGTTGTTGACCGAGATGAAGCGACTGTTAGCATTATCATTAAACCACACAACTTAAAATGTAATCATCACCCAAGGGGTATACCAAAGCTACAGCAGGTGAATGGTTTGACCTACTGCATCGGAATCTACCAAAGGCCTGGAACCTTTCCGCGAGAACTAGAAGCGAGTGAGAAGTAATCAGTTGGCTCACACAAGTTTTTAAAATTAGATTAGGTTGAAGTCACCACTAAGAATATGGAATACCCGCATGGGGTTACTCGTCTTCCCACAATAACATAGTGAGAATGCGCTTGGTCAGTCTAAGCATTCCTCACCAGACGGATTAGAATATAATAAGCTTCATCGACTCATCTTGCAGGACTACACCAACCAACCCTGATAGATCTCCTGAGCGAATTACTACCCAGTGATTGTCAGTGACGACATTCTTCGAGACGAAATTCGAGAAGATCTAATCAGAAGCTGTGGCCTACGGAACCAGTGAAGTCGAGTGTGACGGCAACCAATCTCTAATCGAACTGGATGGTTGTCAAGCAACATCGCCAGCTGACTGGAGCTTGAAACTTTGGGTGCTTGGGTTGAGACTAAACAGCTAAATGGTATGGTGCTCACCTCTAAACTCGACTTTCTTGAGCCTGATCATCGTAAACGCCGTTGATGCAGAATGCTTAGGAGTCCCATAATTTCTAGTAGCTCTCTAAACGAAGTTAGTTCGCAACGAATACCACTTTGAAATCAATTAGTCCGCACAAACCTCCAGAGTGAATTTCGGCAATCAGTTTGCGAACTGTGGCGAAATGAAAAGAAATCCGGAAAGATGTCTTGCATCAAAACTAATTGCTAGCGTAGTTACAATGCAGCAGCAGTCAGCCTTAGAAACCCCAGTCTTATATCTGGAGACTAGTTCTTTCACTTCAGATGGAAAGGAACTAAAAACTATCCACAGCCCGAAAACTTTCAGTAGTGTGAAACGTTCTTCAAAAGAGAGATGTAAGCAACAAAGTTTCAACCACACACTTTCTTATTTTCAAAATCAACTGAACAAGGCCTTTGAGAAGCATCATATTTGTTTGAAACACCATTTGTTGGTCTGTACACTTTTAAATTCTTGTTTTCGCGCCATTTTTATGTCGTGGTCAGTAGTTCATTATCCACTTCGCGTTTTTAAGTCAACTCCCCGGCTGCCTAACGCTTGCTTTTACCATGTTAATAGGTTCAAGTTCTGGACAAGGTTCTATATTGTGTACATGTATACATGTGTTTTGGCTCATTTGACGAATCTTCTCTACCATCCAGACCAGTTTTCTCCTCCTAAGTTACTTTTGAGGTTCGGAGTTGGTGGCATCAAGCGAACAAGTTAGCTGTTAGTTAAACGTACATATTATATCCAACCAGCGGCATAATAAAGCCGACACACACTGATTACGTTCTGCAGTACAGCAGTCACATGCAATATTTATCGTGTGCTCAAAATAACAAAGACACGACAATTTATCTGTGCTCTAATCATTGGAGAAATTTTGACTTGGTTGCTTTGGGAAGTGACTTGAGTTGACTAAGCCTTTGAGTAAAGTATACCTTCAATGAAACAGTGGTACACGAGGTGGCGTCGACTTTAATTGTATCGACCGAGAACAACCGCGATTTTAGACTTCTCTAAAGGTGGATTCGTGAACAAACGGAAATGGTACCTTAAAATGCAACTACTTCAAAATACCATGCCAGTAATACTGAGGTTCACTTAAGAAGGCAACGCTATGAGTTTTTCTTACGAAAGACTCGAAACACTACTATAAAAAGGATAATTAGTAAGACTAACTGACATAGCTGTGGTTGGGTAGACTAGTATTTTTGTTACCTGGTAAAGGTGATGTACGTGTAGTTACGTACCACACATTCAGGTGACAGACCGGTAAAAAAAGCCGTGGCTGAAGAAAAATTAAGGCTTAATAAGAGGTTGGGTCTCTGTCCGTACATATCCAGGTTGGTAACCTGGAGGCCACTGCCACAGCACCGATTTTCATTACACCTTCAATTAACAGAGAAAAGACTGTCTACACAGTTATTTTGGACGAGTGGTGTGCAGAATTGAATGTTGATTACTGACATCCTGTACAGTAGTTATCAAATGTTGCACACCTTCCATTAAGGCAGTCATTTGCGTAGTGTGCTTCATTCTCTCTTCCGCTTCTATCCTGATTCGCTCTTAATACGCTCACATTGTCTCTTGCGTTTCGCTGGACAGAATGTTTATCCACTGCTGGTGATTCCCGATCAGTTCTGCTGCCGTCTCAACATATGCTACTTATATCCTTCTGATCAGCAATGCCCAGTATACAACCATAGAAAGAAATAGTTAAGGGAAGATTGTCTACAAGTTAAGCGGTAATTATGATAAGATTTTAAAAGTGCGAAACTGATCTAAGTGATATCCAGTTTGATACATAATTCTGCTATCTCTACTTATAGTATATATACTCCCCGAACTTTTACACATGTAAAGTTTCCAGTAATTCAAATATTCTTACTTTCATATTTCAAGGTATATTTAGTTCGCTTCTATGTGATATTAGCTATCAAAGTGATCACTTAATGATCAATTCTGGTTCATCTGGACACCA